AAAAAAGCACAAGAAGCACAAGACAGCAAGTTAGTGGGTGGAGGCCAAAGTTCAGGTTAAAGAACCCCTTACAAAGTTTGGAGGCCTACCTGCAAACCTGTAGAGTAGGCTAGAGCTGCTCTGTATCCGGGCAGGGGATACGTTTGACAGACACCCGTTCGACGGGTCCATGGGAGGCACTCTACGGGCTCACTCCGGACTGGCACGAGGCCAGACACACTTATGGATATGCGTACTGGTTTGACAGCGGCGCCACACGCCAGCCTAAGTTTTTAAAAGGCCTGACATGGCAGGAAAATAGTTGGTTAAAGGCCATCGGTTTTGGGCTGGAGGCCAACGCAAGGCTGTTGGGGGCCAAGACCTAAGGTTGGAGGCCATCGCTAGTAGGCGGTGGACCATAGACACAAAGTGACAGCAAAAGAAAAATTGGAGGTCATCGCTAGTAGGTTGGAGGCCAGGGTACCAAGTTGGAGGCCAGCGCTACCAGGTTACACAAGCACAAGAAAACCACAAGACAGTCAAAGTTGGAGGTACTTGCTAGTGACAGTGGGTGGAGGCCAGGGTACCAAGTTGGAGGCCAGTGCTACAAGGTTAGAAGAAGGACAAAAGCACAAGAAGCACAAGACAGCAAGTTGGGGGCCAATCTAGTGGGTGGAGGCCAAAGTTCAGGTTAAAGAACCCCTTACAAAGCTTGGAGGCCTACCTGCAAACCTGTAGAGTAGCCTAGAGGAAAACAGAAGGAAATGCACCGACACACAAGTGTCTCGAGTACCATTTCCTCCTGTTTTCCTAAATAGCGGAACAGGTACGGGTGGATGATCAGTCCACCCATCCCTCGTCATACCGTAGCTTCATTGCGTACGGTGGGTATGACGAGCCGTACGCCCCTGTCCCAAACCTAAAGGTTCCCTTTGATTCCAAGGGTTACACACACATGAACATACACCCCCTCCCTGCCCCCCGCCTTCTTTCTTGCGCTTTCTTCGTTTTCTAGGCGTTCTTTCTTGCTTGTTAGGTGGTTCTTGAGGCTCGTTTCCCTGCTCTGGTTTTTTTGTCGAGGGCTAAGAAGTCAAGTGCTAAGTAGTCACTTTTCTCGCTACACCATGCTACACCTATCTTTCTCTCTTGCCCTTTTCGGTCGGCTATTTCTGTCTTTCTCTCTTTCTTTTTTCTTTCTTCTCTCTTTCTTTCTTTCTTTCTTTCTTTCGCTTCTAAGGCTTTTTAGGTATCTACTCAGGTTTGTGAAGAGCAGAAAAAACACCACCCTGCCGCGCGCGAGTGCCGCTAAGCGGCTATGTGTGTGTGCCTCTGTAACTAAGAGTTTTGAATGCAGGGGCGTGTGGCCTTCTTACCGCGCGCAACGAAGCTGTGGACAAGAAGGGGAAGCAGGGACTGATCATCCCTGTGCACCTGCACCTTCAACTGTTGCCCACGCTGTTCCACTCCTTTGGTTTGATTCATGGTTTTTCATGCGCTCCTTCCCCCAAGACAGGTTTCCCACTGCAGTTTTCAGCCGCTCGTGAATTGCAGCCAGCCGCGCGAGATTTTGACCGCTGAGTACAACAGTTGTTCAACATTTCAAGTGACCTGACTTTCTCGCCTTGCTGTTCCCTCACCTTTTTCCACTTGGGAATAGATTAACTGAAAACCAATGTCAGAGTGTGACTCGCTCAGTCGTCCCACTTGGGCGCTGGGCGCGATGCTCCGCAAGGAGGCGACGTTTTCACTCCGGACTTTCGTGCAACGGACTCAACTGCTCCTGTATGCGTGGGATTCTCTTAACTGAATTGGTCTCTTGCCTGGAATCTCAAACCGCGATGCCGTCTGGCCCACGACAACAATTCCAAGCCGCCGGGCCAACGGAGAATAAACCCAGACGTGTTATCTACCCCAATCACCCCAACCCCTTCCCCCCTCTAATCAGGGTAACAGAGGGAAATGGTACTCGGCACACTCATGCGTCGGTGCCTTTCCCTCTGTTGTCCCTTTTCTAGTCTACTCTACCCGGGCGGTGTAAGACAAAAGTCCCGCTCCCTAACTAGTGCACCTAATTCGTTCAGCTAAGTATTCAGTAACTCTAGAGTGCTAGGTAGTCTTACACACACACACAGACAAACACATGTACATACACTTCCCTGCCCCCCACTTTCCTTCTAGCGCTTTTGGTCGTTTCTTGGGCTTTCTCTCAGGCTTTTTAGGTTGTTCTTGAGGCTCGTTTCACTACCCCAGTCAAGGGCTAAGTATTCACTGTTGTCTACTCCTACCTTTCTCTCTTGCCCTCTCAGCGCTGCTCTTTCTGTTTTTCTTTCTTTTGTTTCTAAGGCTTTTTAGGTACCTATTCAGGTCCTCCGCGAGAGCGCCGCAAAGCGGCATCGTGTGTGTGTGTCCACACCTGCGCCTAAGGTTTTGGGTTATAAAGAACGCTACTAGGGCCCCTGGTTTTGCTACTA